AGGTGCCCACCTGAATTGGTCTGGTCCGGAAGTGAATTCCGGTGTTCTGGGATCCAAATCCCGCCATCCAGCTACTGATTGAGATTTTGGTATACCCAACAGACCATGCAATCCGGTCCAAATGCCACCCGTGGGTGGTGGAATCAACTTCAGCAACCTCACATTCCTTCCATGGAGAAAAACAAGTTGATTGTGTTGTTTACCATAGTTGGAACACAAGGTACATGCAACACAGAACGAGTGTGTTGCGCCCAGTTGAATGGTACAAACGTCCGGTGACAACTGCGTGTAGTTCGGTGGACAGTAACATCTGGAGAGCATGGGTAATAACATCAGAATAAGATGGATTCTGCGGAACATATTTTGCCCGTAATACGACTTGGTCCTGATCATAGTGTTTATAGGGGACTTGAAAGAATTTGGTGAGAACAACTAATGAGAATTCTTCCGGAGTCCAATTTGATTGGTCTAAGTTGCGCGAATTTTCATCACTTTGATTGGCTGCTTGAAGATTTTGTTGTTGTTCGGTCATCCGGTTGATTTTGTGTGATTGGTCGTTCTTTTGGTTTTGTAAGTTTGTTCTTCTGCTAGTTGTTTGGTAAACCGGTTCGACCGTTAGCTTTTGCAGTTGGGCTCTCGCTTAACTCTCATCATTGGCCCAGACGATAGCGATAATGACATTGTTTAAATGTGACTGGATTATGCAAATATACATCTACGATAATGCGCGTGCTCACTATGCAACAGCAGACTCAGAGGAACGCAGGAGGGTAGCGCTGTGTCAAAAAACATAAATCAACCTTCTGAATTTAGCCAATTCCTCTCCGATGACGTGTACCAACTTTTGGTTCCAAGGTGAGCGATACACTGATGTGGTGTCTCATTGTGATTTAGATGCACCTGAGCGAAAATCATAGACGGAAGTGGTCAAAGTCTGTTACGGGGACCGCGCAAGGGAACAGAAGGGAAATCTGAAGAGTCACAGAAGTGTGTAGAATCAAATAAATCATCTACAGCGGTATAAATGACATATATGATGTGCAAGTACACATGTGGAAAACGATTAAGGTTAGAAGCGCCCCCCTAGTTGTGTAAAACTATTTGGGGACAATAAGGAAATGCTCCACTGACATTAAGATCTTTTTAGCAATGACTCACATCCGATTTGTCTGGAAAGCGAATTAAGCTAGAATCTGGCGTACCGCGCTTCGTCGCAACGGACGTGCGTGTTAGCACGCACTCCAAATTCGTGGCCATCGCAAGAGTTCATGTCGTCATGTGGCCTCTGAGAATCGCGCAGCGTGATCCTGATTGGCAGGGATAACAAATCAGACACGTGTTGAGCGCCGTCAGTCACACGAATATGTCATGCTTCTAGCTTTGAGTACACTCCAGCGACTGGTCAGTTCAACCAGCTCATCATTGCACGGTTTAAAATGTTACCCATTTAGTGGTTCATGTGAATGACGAAATTCGGCGAACGGATTAACGGTTACCTGGTCGACAAATAATCCAACAAACCCATCATGCAGCTAAAATATTCTGCCCAACCGTTTGTCTGGATGGTTGTTTTTTTTGGTACCCACTCATTTGACAGCCAGGCGAGAAGAGCCAACTGATGTTGAGCGTCTGCCACATTACTGAGCAAGTCAGAGCTGCAATTTCTACACTCATATTTTCGGCGTCGTTTAAAAATTCGATCACAGCGGCGATAAAATAATAGTAAGTAATTCTAGCGCACACCCGAATCAGTTGATGAACTTTTCTGTTGCTAACAGGCTAGTGATGTTTGGGGGTCGCGGTGTTGATTGTTCCATCACTTTGTTTGTGTCAGGAGTCATGAAAAACGTCACTGGTCAGCGGCCTCCGACATAAGAAGCGTTTCGCCATCCTGCCTCACTTTAAACGCTGGTAGCGTTATTTCTGTTGCTGATGTAGCAACCTGTCGGTTAGCTATATCAACACTGGAGGTACGAACTTTCACAGACCTACACAGTTTACAGGACACTGTGACTCGAATAAGACGAAACTAACACGGGCCATTTCAAACGTTTCAAACGAACGACGGAGTTGAAATTTACTCTCATTGCGGCTGTTATCAGGTGAGCAATAAGGGATTATGGATGGAACTCCGTCTATGCACCGTTTCATATGTATACAGGTCAATAAACCGGATCTACCTGAAATGCTTCAGAGTGGCAAATCTGGTGGAAGAGTTTTCGGGCACTTCGGAAGTGGCACTGATCGAAGTTGTATTTCATAGCTTCATCACTCTCAGCCCTCGATTTCTCTTGCTTTGCACAAGGAATTTTATGGTTGTTATTCCGCTGGAGATCACATATGTCGTATCCATTCTCACTAGACTTTATCCTAGTCCAACCAGTTTGGTGTCAAGTTAGCGTTCATCAGTGGTTGTACGTTGTATTGCCTTGACCGATTTGACCTGAGCCGGTTACCGACCAGCCTTTAGTTGTGGTCTGAGTGGACCTGCGTGTCACATGGTTCCAGATGACTGTTTTGAGTCTAAACAAAAACGGTAATTTGCAGTCTAGAAACTTGACATCATGCCAGACAGACACAACTGGAATCTCGAAACCTAATTAAAACTCCCCGGGGTATATGTCCCACAAACTAATTACTTTGCTGCTAAAACGAAGGAAAGAACAACAACCATGGGCTGGTTTTCTAAGGCCAGCCAGATGACGACACCCTTTTCGCCTCCAGCTATCTATATGTTAAGATATTAACAAAAGGAACCAATTATCCCAGCTTAAATTCCACCGTATCGCGAGAGCATCACAAGCAGGCATATAAAACTGGTGACAAAGGCAGATCGAAAAAGCACGCGTCAAAATCACTCTGGTGAGTAGTACACAGCTGCTGTTGGCAGTAATGTGTATAGCAAATTATGTGACGCAGGAGATCATAGTGAGATTACGAGTTTTACCACAAATTCGAACTGCGCGAGTCGAACACCTTTGACGACCAGGGTTCACTGCGAAATTCTCAGTGTTCTGTGGTGATTGTTATACTTGGTGGTTGTTTGTTTCATTCCGGAAGTTCGAGTTCGCCAGTGGCAATTCGGCAAAACACGTCATTTTGTTCCAGAGGAAATCTCCTTCTTGCACTGACGGATAATTGACCATGTTGCACATTGAGCTACAGGGGGAACAACCAACAATTGGTCAACTCCGTTTTACCTCAGGTAGGCAATTTTAGGTGAGCAGATCGCGAGTGCCAAGTGACAACGGATGCGCCGCACCCAACAGACATATTCAGTCTATGATTCAGGGATTTCTCCCACAAAAACATCCTGCGGCACAGTTCTGCCTAAGTGATGGCAGATATTGATAAATAAGATGCATTCCAAACCAGCTCCAGTTGTTATTATACCTGATGCCTCTGAGTAAACAGGAGCCGCGTTTTAATTTCTCTTTAAAACACTTTTATCTGTCGACTGATTCATTATAGATGGGTACAACTAAAATCGCGAGTTTCCTTTTATTCCGGTGTGTTCCAGCTGACCAATCACCGGGTTCCCAAGTAGACGTAACTCATTGTGTTCTGATAGTTCTCCATATCCAGACATGCTTGACGGAGCTACTCAAAGTGGTAGTCCTCATTCGAATCACATCTAATCAATGTGAAAAGCGGGACACCTGGATTTTGTTGATGCATCCGTCGGGGCAATAAACTGTCTCCACCTGCGTTCCCATACTTCATTTCAGTCTACAAATTCTGAATACTCTGAAACTTCCCCGTATTATTCATGAATTACGTCTAGCTCAGAGTGAACATCTGTTCACAAGTCATCTACGTATCGAAACTAGCTGATCGGTACTCGGCGACCTGTTAGCATAGCCACTTCATGTGACTTACTTCATTGGAACTTTAACTCCCTTGTGTGGGTGTAATTCATGTGGTACACGAGCGAACGGCTTATTCTTTAAATGTGTTGATGTGTCCTTTCTGCTGAAATATAGGAGAGCCACGGATTCTGATTATTCATCGACTGGCGCTGACAGCCATCCATAATTCTATTTAAGTAACACAAGTTCGGAGAGTTTTTTTTTACCTGTACTTGGTGCCGAATATTGCAGGAATATTACCAAATCCGATTTGAGGTCTCACATTTTATAAAAAAAACTAGAATATCCCCATGCGAATAAAACAAAGAACAATGAATATCTCCAGGTGCGTCACCAACGTGCAGGCTAAACAAGAGAAAAGATGGGCCGAATAAAATAAAGCGGATTTTCGCTTCAGCGGGTGCAAAGATCACATTTCCAACTTGGGATAAAGTTTGGGGCACCGAGCTTTGTTTAGCAGTCATCGGT